TGTCCACGGATGTGTGGGTCAGAAGCCTTACAGGCCGTGCTGCCTGGAGAGCTTTGCCCCTTCGCAGCAGCCTCGCGGTCACTGACAGTGCTGAGGGGGTTCTTCCCGTGGCTGTTCTTGCTTTGAGGCTTCTGAGCTCTAGGTGAAGCCAAAAAAAGAGTGACTACTGAACTGGTGACTGGGATCACACAGTAATTTCAATCACAGTAATCAGTGCTGCAGGTTATGAGCTAGTGTCTCAGTGACAGGTAAATACACCCATGAGGTACAGTCATTAAAGAAAACAGAACAGGTTCAACACAGACAACTGTGCTCCCTTTGAGCTTACAGGACACTGGTTCCTCTGAGGTGGAGGTGGCTGCTGCTGCTGAAATTGCATTTTGATTCCTTCTCAGGAGAGTCCACTGCCCTCAAACGAGAGCTGTGATGGACAAGAGCTTAGACGGATGAAGGCAGGAAGAGTATTCCCACTCCCATCCCAAAGATTTAGAGGCTTCAGGGAAGGCAAGGAGTCAGAATAAAGTGAAATATCCTCAATGAATAATTCATTGGCTGGGAAGTGTTTTTTTAGGGAAACTGAAGCTATACAGGGATTTGGACAAATTCAGCTGAAACACTCTCAGCCATAAAAAAGATAGATAGGAGGGAAATACAGAAAAGTCTTGAAATATGTTGTAATATCTTATTTCAACTGTCTGGATAGATTCCTTTAAAAGGCACGTGAAAGATTTGGGAGTTTTGTCTCAAAATCTCTCCTTCTCTTCTTCCTTCCTCTGCTTCTCTCCTTTGCCTTTTACTTTTCTTTCCTTTTCCCTGACTTTAAAGAGCAGATGTACTAGAAGGTGTTAATTTATCTGAAAATGAAATTGATGTTGATTTGTATCTTCAGGCACTGGTTTTTTGTTCCTTTCCTGCTTGCTGGGGGAGCCCAGCACTGATTGACTCAGAACACAGCATCAAGAGTTGTCTGGTCAGAGCATCTCCTTTTCCTGAGTTCTGTCACAGTTTTCAGAGCAGTAGTGTTCAGTGAAGTTGCTAATTGCACAGTTTCTAGGAAAACACAGAAATACAGCTTGTGTTTGTCAAATCTCTGCTGTATGGATTGGAAGATGTGCACACAGAGGATGTCTCTGGCTCCATGGGATGATGGAGGAGGCTGGTTTTGCTGAAGTTCACATGCCTGGTGCTGCCTGTGCTCCCTGGTGAGCCTCAGGGATGGGGCACTCTGTCACATGCCTACCAGATGCACATAAACCATCTTCTTGGTCAGTCCTAGCGGGGAGCGGGGCAGGAAAGCTGACAGGTAAGTGACGTGCTTGGCTAGAGTGATCTCCCAAGAAACAGAAGCTTCAGAAGGCTCAAGAGCTCTGTGAGACACAGTTCGGTTGTGTAGTGGATAAATCATGTAGAATGGTGACACTTCAGCAAGGCAAGGACGGGTGCTTGTCAGGAAGATCCTGGCAGCCATTTTTCTTAGATAATACTGGTTATCCTCACTAGAATTACTGTCTGAGGCAACCAAAACATACCATGATGTTAAAGCTGAAGCAGTGTGAGTAAATCAATTAATTAGGTGTGGGTAGCATTTGCCTTTCACTGTAAAGGGATCAGAGGAAAACACTTAGCTTTTATGTTCTTGTTCTGCTCCATGCCTTACCATCAGTTCATTCAAATAACCTGACCCAAATAAGTTATTATATTATTATGCTTTGGTGAACATTTCTACCCTGCACCAACATCATGATATGAAAGTTAACAGATGCTGCTTTGTAGTAACTGGAAGTGGACAGAAAAATTGTCACATGAGTGGGGAACACCCAGATAGCTCTAAACCTCCGCCCTTCCTCCGTGGAGTATCTCCTCATTTCTTCTACCTCTGCCCTGCTATTTGCAGGGAAAACGTGCATAAAAGCTGAGAGGGAGATCCCACAGATAGACTCAGGTCTCCAGCACTTGTGGGTGTCAATGCATCCAGATGAAGGAGCTTGAATGGAAAATGACTGGAAGGGGATCATTAATCCAGAGAAGTTGAATTGGAGTTTGTGGATACTTTTATTTGTGGTCTTTTCCTGTATAACTATTGTGGTTTAGTATTGGGGCCTTTGCAGAAAGAAGGGGTTTGGAGGATAAAAGACAGTTTTTCCTTTGACTTTATAATTGCCAAGGTTTCCCTCTGCATCCCTGAGGAATTACATTAGAGGGGTTTATTCTACCAACAGTCTGTTAGCAGGATTGGCCCCTTGTTGAAAGCATGATGCAGTGCTTAAATAAGAATAAGGTAAAATAAGATGAAGTTGTAAGGCATTAGGTTGCATGTGGGCATTGAATGTCTTTTTCTCTGTGCTAAAGGTATTGACTTCAGTCATTAATTGCTTTATGAACAGAGTCACTAGAAATGGCCCAGACCTTGCTAACACTGTCAGCTAAAAATAATGCATGTAATGCATACATTCCTGGGGAGACACTTCAAGTTTGAGATACGAAGTTGTTTTAATAGCCTGGACTTTGATTTTATTTGTCTGTGGCCATGCTGGGGAGTATTGGCAATTAAATTATCTCAATGTCATAAATATATTTAGATTTTTTCTTTAGAATGACATCTTTTCTTTTTCAGCCACTTAATACAATGTAATGCTGTTAAAGACTTTAGAAGACAAGAAGCAGTGATGCTTTATTAAATTCAGAAAGTTCTTTGCCTACAGTATTGCTCCACTTCAAAGATTTTTCTACTTGAAATCAGTGAGACTCATTTCATTCAAGAGTTTGACAAATGGTAGTGCTGTGCACATCAGAAGAAATGAAATCTTTTAGGAGATATAGTAATGACAGGGAGATAGTTGCACAGCTGGTTTTGGTTCCATCTCTGATAGCAGGATCTCTGCACTGCCCCTTACTACTACACAGAAGCCAGTCTAGGTGTGTGGCTGTGGCCAAACCTGTGCTACAGGTACTTGTGAGCTGGGGCACTGACCTCTCTTCTGGTGCTACATCCTTCTGCTGAAGGATTTTAAAAGGACAGAGTGGTCTCTCAAATACAGGCCATCCCAGATCCGCATCTGTGTATGTGAGCGTGAGAGATAGCTGTCTGAAATTATTTACTCTTGTAACTCTGGTCTCCATTCCTGGGAGAAGTAAAGAAGAAAAATGCCAGAAGTGGAAGACAAAGCATGGAAAACCCAGAGACTGCAACGATGCCTATATTAACTGGGCTGACATGGCTTTTTCACAGGCTGCATTTCTCAGTCCATAGCCTGACCAAATGTTAACTGTACTATATTTGGTGTTTCAACAGGCAAACGCCAAACTTGCACACCAGCCCTTCATAATGTAACTCAGTCACTGATATACATGTATAATACATGTATAATATATGGGAAGCATTAAAAAACACAGTGTTTTCTGCAATAGACTGGATGTAGAGCCAAAGCTAGAGAAAAAATAATTGAAAGAAAACCTGCTAATTGCCAGTGAGATACGGAGATATTTGGATCTTGTATTGCAAATTTTTGTCCATACGACTAACACGTGCACCAGCGGATGTGGAGCTTCCACACGCAGGTAATCTTGGCCATACACACAAGCTCTTTCCCTAGCTGGGTCATGTGCTTTTCTTAGTCTCCAGTTCTGTGTATCCAGTCAAGATGTAACGAGAAGAGAATACTTTGTTTTTCAGTACAATGTACCATATACCTCATGGGCACCTGTGATCTACTAGTGCCACATGGACACAGTTAGCTGACCATCTGCTTGACACTTCTTGTGGTGTATTAAAATATTGAAGCCAATTCAGATTGAGTACTGGGTAGTACAGACTGGATTAGCTATGGTTATACCCATTCTTCAGTCCAAAAGCATCCATTTGCTAAGGTGGACAGCAGTTCATTATAGTTTCCTGTAGTTTCCAAAACAGTTTCCTTCTTCAGTACCAAGCAGTGTGTAATGTCTTGAAACAGTTATTCTTTCATATTATATGCAGGATGTGATCACAGCGCGTCAGGAGGGCAGTGAAAACTTGCATGGATCATGTGGATGCTTGTTGCCATTTTCTGGAATTTGGCTTAATGAAAACAAAGTTGAGAAAAGTGCTTGTTTTGTTTTGGTGTTTCGTTTTGTGGTTTTATTTTTTTTTTTTCTTTTTAATTATCTCAATCCCAGCTTGCATTATCTTCCAGAAATTGCAGTATTGGATCCAGCTGGAAATGACTGCAGTATTGTTTTGCCATAGCACTAAAGCATTTTGTCTGGAAGTTCAGCTATTTAGATTACATGTCCCTCTTGAAGCCTAATGTTCAAGAGCTCTTCATTAGAAACATCAATGGTATTAAATGGAAATGGATCTTGCATGATGATATAGAAAAATCAGACTAGTAATGCAGTATCCAGTTGGCCATTGTAATGCATTTCCTGTAACTGAGAATTCCTTAACACAGAGAAGGGTAACTAAAATAACACAATATATTTATTTTACTACTTAGAGCTTTAATGAACTTCAGGAAAATAGTTTCAACGGAGTGTTTTAAAAGCTCTGTTACCTTGTGCACACTGACCTGGTCCTGCAAACAATTACACTTGGGCACAGGGTTGCTGACTGCCAATGGCCCACTTGTGTGTGTAAGTGGAACATACGTGTGTGTACATGTAGAGATCAAGGCCTTGCTCTAGTTGGGAAAATCTGAAATACTTTAACCAAGGGGTAGATTTTGCAGCAACACTACAAAATCAAGCAGATAAAGCCTTTTGCTCTGCCATTGACTAGGGGCTCGTTCTGGCTGGTACTTGAATGGGAAACTGCCAGATGTGCCATGTGAACTTGGCCACGCTTCCCAGGTACCAGCTCGGGGTGGGTTGGTGAGGCACCTGCCTTGGTGCTTCCCTGTGCACAGCCGTGCTGATAGCGAGAGGAGCTCTCCTCCAAGGAGCTGCCTCAGTTTTGGGCCAGGGCAAGAACCAGTCCTGCACTGCCAATGACTTAATTAATTCTCTGCTGGTTTGTCCTGCAGCTGGCTGTTCCACACAACGACGAGTGGACGCGCTTTGCCCGGACCTTGGTGGAGATCCGCGCCAACCGAGCCGACAGCGAGGAAGAGGGGGCGGTGGAGCTCTCGGCATAGAGGGAGAGGAGCAGCGCCCGCCAGAACAGCAGCTTCCCCCCTGAGTTCGCCAGTGTTCAGTGTCAGAGTCAGTCTTGCTGTGGCTTTTGATGCCAGTGTACATGCCAGTATTGCTCAAAGCATTCCATATTAATCACACTGCTTTACACAAGGCTGAAAATATCCAGAGCATTTTCATACTTTATATTTCTGTCTGAAAAGTAAGAAAGAAAAGACAAATCAACCCTTTATGGGTTTAGTTGTTGCCTTTTAACTACTTAGGAGCTGTATTTAATAGCTAGGAACCCCTGGTTAAACTTGTGCTCACATTGCCCTTCTGGCATAGTCCTATTAAATCCATATGAAGCCAGATATGATTATGTGCAGATGTGGTGTGCTTCACTGTATGGGACTGGGCCAAAGACTTTAGATGTGGTGTATCACATGGTGACTTACATTATGAATGGATGTACTATACGAAAGTTGCTGCTCCTTATTTATTGCGGTGTGCTGCATGGAACATATTTATTTGAAAGCATTAAAATAAACGATCCTAAAGCATGTGCATAATGAGAGAACTGCATTGTCTGTGTGCTGCTGTAGAGGTTACATTAAAGTCCACGTAACAATTACAGTACATCAGTTGTGCTTAAGATGTAAGATCTATAAAGGTTGGCTTGAGTGGATGGAATGAGCTCCCTTTCCTTTTTTTTTAAGATGCCTATTATTTCTAGGCACTTTAACTATATTTCAGATACAGTTGGTCACTGATACTTGTCATGCAAGTTAACACTAATAGTCTGACAAAGGGTTGTGGTTCCCAAGTATGACACTAGTATTGCCAATAAAATGTATCAGGCCTGTTCTGTTGCAGTGTGGTTGATCTTTCTTTGCCAGCAGTGCTCAGCATGTTCATTGCCAGTCACTGGTGAGGCACTGGGTAGATGTGACTGCCCTGATGCACAGAAAACTCCTGCAGCTGCTCTGTAAATAGGTACCTTCAGCACTGGGACTGCCCAGTAATGGACCTGTGTGGATCAGACCCTGCTACTAATTTTACATGGGCAAGCACTAAGCTTTGCGTGTCAGCTTCTGGCCTAATTTTTATTTTCCCTCCATGCTTACCTGCACACACAGAGCAGCAGCATGCTGCCATATGTGCTGAAAGAAAAGGAATACGAGAGACAAGGCCTCCTTAGACTGTCTTGAGAGACAGGCTGGGACAGGGGACAGAGGAACAAGCTCCTTTATGACAATCTCTTGTGGCTTGAGCAAAGAAACAGAGTGCAGACTGGTCTCATTGGGTGCTGTGGCCCAGAGGGATGTTGGTGGTGAGGCTCCTCAGTACATCCATGTCACAACACTGCTGAGCCAGAGGACAGCTCTGATATCTGGGTTTAGCAGTGGTCCATTTAGGGGCATGGAGGTAAACATTTTAGCAAGAAACACTGCAAGTTTGACAAGAAGGATCTTGTACATTGTTTCTCATCTCATCTTTGGGAGTCATATTGAGGAATGAACACATCATCTGATCATGTTTGAGGCTACAGCCCAATCCAGAAACTCTGGGAAGTCTGCACTGCCAAAGCCAGAGTAGGCTGAGAAGATGAATCCTTTGGAAAAGCTGCATTTCTCTTCTTGGTGGTTAGAGGCACCTCCCTGTGAGCGTGCAGGGGCTACTTTCATCTTCATGGCGGTACCTGCAGCTATCTCCCAGTGCCCCATGAAAATGTCCAGCCACTGGGCTGTGGGGAGCACCTTCTCCCAGAAGGCCTAGTACACAGGAGAGATATAGCAGTCATTTTCGGGTGGCACCCTGAGATTGGAGCCATATGTTAGAGAACTTTTTGTTCCTGCTGCTCCCCTGGGTGCTCTGGGAGTTGTCCTCAAGAACCAGTGTAGCACTTGCAGCACTTCTGTAGCTTAAAGGTGAACAAACAGCCAGGTGAAATGACTGTAAAGGAGCAGCTTAGATATCATCTCTGGGGTTTTTTTCCCTTCTTTTGCCCTGTTTTCAGAAACCCCAACTGCTGTCTGTATACATGGATGAGGCAGATGTGGTGCAGAGTGGAAGAGAGGAAAACACACTTGGTTCTCAGCGGGTCACAAGACCAGAACATATGCACAGGTGGATACACACCAAAGTACTGCCATAATGGGAGGCACAGGTGAGAACCCACCACCCTTCTTCCCTGTGGAGTAGCTGCACATTGCAAAGTGTGAGGACACGATCTGAGAGTGCCTGAGTGTGGTGTAATGGGAAGGCATGCAGCCAATGTTGTCTTCCATTCATCATAATCAGTGCAGTGGGAACAGCTGGCAAATTTGATTCTACTTTTTCCATATTACCATTCAGCTTTTGGAACCTAAGGGGGGGTCTGCATGTTCATGTCTAAGTTCTCCCTACTTCATAGCATTAACAGCTTCTGAAATAGTTTTAAGAGCAGCCTCATAGGACCTTCAGCAGTTGCTGCTGTATGCAAATCAGTATGACCAAAGTCCATTTTTGAAATTTTTCTTTCCTTTTTTTCTTTTTTGTGGTGTGGGGGGTTCAACAGTACACAGAGGGAACAAGGAAAACATATGAGTTTCCACAGAAATCACAGGTTTGTATATACAGAGCAATAACATGAAAGAGCCATTTCACACAGCTGAAGCAGATGGAAAAGCACCCAAGAACAAGAAGCATTTACTTCCCTTCTGCTGCTCATGATTATTCTGCAGTGGAGTTTCTGACCTGCCCTTGTTGCTGCCCTTCCAGGAATCTCCCACAGTTCTTGTTTGTTTGATTTTCCTGCTGCTAAACAAATAGCTGCATTTCACTGGCTTTCTAAAACAGCATATATGACAAAATGTTACTCAGAATCTGCCCAGTAGGGAAATAAATACCAAATTATCCTTTAATTTGAGCAAAAAGAAATCATCTTCTCCTGTCTCTTTTGCCTACAAACATCCAGAGAACCGAAGGAAGACCATAAAGGGTTATGTCCTATGTTCTAGCACTACCAGGATGCTGCCATGACTGGTCTGGGTGTGAAGACAGCCTGGCTCTTTTAGGGCCATTGCAAGTGAGCTTTCTGTGAAGGACAAACTGTGTGTTCAGACTGAGCTGGACAGCACATCAGAACCACAGAGGTCAGATAAAGCAAACTCTAGCAGAAGTAGGCAAGTGGCAAGAAGAGGCTAAATTGAGGTTTAGCATGGTGGACAGGACCATGAGGTACATGTGGGAGGGACAATTCTCCTACACTGGTTGAAGGAAAGTCCGAGTCCCCCTTGATTTCAGTGCCAAGGATCAGAGCTACGCCAGCACAGGCAAGAGGCAGAGGAATGATGTGGCCAGGGACAGGGGATTTGCTCTGAAAAAAGCTGCGAAAGGACATGGGGAAACATTACAGGTGGCACTGGGGGTGGGAGCTGGAGGCATTAGCTGAAAGGTGAAGCAGGATTCTTCACCTTTATGACATGTACTTTGGTCAAGACACCCCGTGGTAACAGAGAAAGAAGGTGATAGCCAGAGTATACTGAAAGAACATGTGCACAGCACTGGCCAACCTGGAATTTGACCAGGACACACACAACTCAGCATGGGGCTGGAATGCCAGGTCCATCATGTAAATAACAACACTTGGACCAAGTGGATCTTTGAAAGGTGGAAGTGAAATAGGCTACTTCTGAAGTCTGGGAACACCACAAACATGTCCATGGAAAAGCTGTCAGAGCAAGTCTTTGCTGCTGAGAGTAGACTCCACAGAATTTCCTGTAGCTTATTACTTCAAAGAGAAAAAGTAGGTGGGACAAATGGCGCTGGGTTGCAGCAATTCAAGAGCTCCAGCTTTTTCCACAGGGTACACATCAAGTGTTCCATAAGAAATTTTTCAAGATGGAAGGTGTTTCCTCCTGAGTCTCAAAACCAATGCCCCAAACATTTGCTACTCCTGAAAATATCAGAGCCCCTACCATGCCCTGGAATATCATCATCTCACACTACAAATGACAGCCTGCATCTCTAGGGCTATGGAAACAACTAGGAATAGGTTCTTTCACACAAGACAGGTGGAAAAAGCTCCAGAGTTTTAGCAACTGTAGATAAGAAGCATGCATGGCAGAAGACTGGAAACCCCTCACAGAGCAAAACAGCATCCCACATGGAGTGGGATGGTCTCCACTGGCCAGTGGCAAAGGACACTCTCCTAAGGCAGGACTCGGTGACTAAGGGTGCTATAGAGCAGCTACCTGTCCTTGGGAAGCTTACAGGACCGGTTCTCCTTCGAAGTCATAAGCAAAGATACTTCTGAAGTAACCCAACCATGTCTGGTACACAGTGTCTGCACAGCCTGGGGTGTGAGGAAGGCCAGGCAATGTAACTACAGCAGCTGGAATGAATCTTGCAAGCAATAGAACTGCTTCCTGGTGCGATGAGGAACAGTGCAAGGAGAAGTTAAAATTATTGCTACACTTGAAATGTCATCTCTCTGAAGGGCAACACTTTGAAGACATCCCCAGGTTCAGCACTAGGAGAGGCTGCTCAGTCTCACAGCCTGAGTTATCTGCTTCCCACCAGGCAGAAAGCAGAATCACCACATCACCACATGGCACATGGCATTAAAGAAACCACTTCATCCCAGGCTGCTTCTGTGTTATTTGATGTATTTGAAGGTCTCTGGAGACATTCAAAATACAAACATCTTGGGATTTGTATATTCTTAACCATTAAATAACTCACAAATTATCACTATCTCTGGAAATCGTCTTTTAGCTTATGCAAAAACCAGCAAATATTTAAACAAAAACAGAGTCTGAGCTTTACAGCAGTGTTTAAACAGCAAAGCTGGAGGATTCCTGATTGTCCCTGCACCACTGGAAAGGATCTCAGCAGCAGGCAGTGTGACTTGTATGTGCACATAGAGGCTAAGCCAGGGTCATTCCAAGCAGGCTGTCCCCTCCTAAGATGATGTAGAGCCGCTTGTCAGGTTTTGTATTTTTAGCAGGTTTAGAAAAACCTGCCCAATTTATTTTTGAAGCCTGTGGTATGTTTGCTTACAAAAGCATCCCTGCAAAGTGTCAATATTAAGTCAGCTTAAACCCAACCCATTCCCCAGGGACCAGGCAGAAAAGCATCTCCTGGCTTCTGCTGGACTGAGAAACACAAACACGGGGTACCTGCCTCAGCAGCTCCTTCCCCACTCTCAGTCTGACAGGTAACATCACCAGTATTTGGCCATTTCTTTTTTCCAGAAGCGCTGTCACAGGGAGTTAGCTGGAGTGCAGGAAGCAAGTGAGGTTACTTTTTATCCATTTGCATAACTCACCCAGAAACCAAGACAGGACAAACATTGTCCTCAGGGCGTTTTGTTTGTTTGCAAGGCAATATGACAATTCCTTGGCCTGCAAGCTTTTCAGAGCAGGAATGCATCCTTTTGTGTCTGGAGGAAGCCGACTGTGGGCACAAATCTTCCCCAAGATATCTGGGCAGAGCTGCAGCAGATTTGGAATTCGGCTTAATGTTAACAAAGCAGCCACTAGCTCTTCAACACTTCTGCCCCTACCTCTGCTGTCTACTGACCCTGAAGAGATGGGCAGAAGGAAAGAACAATCCTCCAGGAAAGTTAATGGTGAAGGGAAAGGCCACCATGTGTGGTGTGGGTGTGTCAGTCCAGCCCTGCTGAGAGAGGATGAAGTCTGTGGCCGAGATGGATCAGCCACATGAGAGCTGTACCTGAGCTTTCCTCCTGGGATGGGAGCTTTGCCCTTACCCCAGAATAAAGAACAAGCCATAAATATACTGCCAGGCCTGGGAATGAGAGGGCACGAGGAGGCAGAGAAATTGGTTTTGTGGAATACAAGCAATGAATGGTCTTTATCACACGAGCCAAGAAGTTGTGCAAGCCCTACAATAACCCAGCTCTAATTCCTCTTCTGTGCCTGGCTGCAAAGCCCCAGCAGCACTGGGGCTCAGTGTCAGGCAGCACAGGAACGTGCTCTGGTGGGTGCAGCCTGGGTGTCCCTCTCCAGAATGAGCCAGGAGGAAGCAGCTGCCAACCAAGCCCATCCAGTGGCCAGGCATTTCCTCTCCTGGATCAGTGAGAAGGTGCAGCTCTGCACTCAGACATCTTCCCAGAGCTGCTGACTTTCCACAGAAACCCCTGATATGGTATATCAGGCAAATGTGAGGAATGAAGTATAACAGCAGCTCTGAAACAGCCTAAAATCTCATGTGTGAAGCACAGGCAGCGCCCAGTGAGAATGTCTTACTTCTGTGACATGCTTTAACCAAAAATCCTGATGGTTAATTTTGAAGGGTTATTACAAGGGAGAGCTTTTTTCCCCCTATTTGTGAAATGAAGGAGCTGTCGTTTGGGGAGACACAGATACACATGGCTGAGAGGAAGCAGCTGCTGTCTGTCAGAGCCCAGTGGTTTAGCCAGACTCCAAGATGCAGCTGCATCTGCTCCCCTCACCTTCACACACAAGTGCTGCTACTCATACCCCTGAGTTCCATTTCACTAGTAACTTCAAAATACAAATTATTACAAAGAGAATAACTTTCATGATGACCCAAATACAAATACAAAATCAGAGTGATTTTCATTTCAGTATTTTCACAAATTACAGCACAGTGTGATATTGCCCAGCAAACTCATTCTTCTGCAGAGACACTGCATCTGTGCAGTCCCTCAGTTTACAGCCAAGGTTGAAGGCACCCACCCCTCACCCCCTCCCCCCCACTCCAAGGAGACAAGCAAAGCCAAATTCCTCATCTTAGAGGTTAGCATAGAAGATACCCAACAGGACCTTCAAGTGACTAGGTGATCAGGCTGTTCATAACCACTAACCTTCTCCCAATAGTAAAGATCTAAATATCAAAGCTTCAATCCTCCCTTCTGACTGAGGAAAAAGTTTCTCTTTTTTCCTGAGTCACATCTCCACCAACAGATGTCTTTTATGGGCAGGGGAATTGTAGTAATTTGTTCTCAAGCTGCAGGTGTTTTCATAGCCTACAAGTGCAAACTTTAGCTTCATCTTAACCTGACTTTATCACTGAAGCCAAACAAGACATTCGATGTACTGCACTATTTCCATAACAGAATACCATGTATGCATCTGTTTGAAAGGTTTATTTCTATCTTCATAAATACAGAATTTTCTAAACACTGTGCAAGGCACCAAAAATTAAGTAAAATCTTTTATTTTAGACTATTTTAATCTCTTTTGACTCAATGAAGTAAATAAGAATCTGAAACCACCTATTTGCCAATTACAAGCCAGCAGTTAAGGCAGGTACCATTGATACAGTGCATGAATTTTCTATTGCAGTTATTTAAACAAGCAGCGTTTTACTATAGAAGTGCATATACAAACTGAATTCCAAACACCAGCAACCCAAGATAGGCACCCAGTTATGAAATTTCCTTGTATGTGTAGTAGAATGCCAAAAGTTCTGCCATAAAGTGCAAAGACTATGGACAATAACACTTTCTTTTGAGCATTTTGATACCAGTAACATAATACAACGGCTAAACATTTATAAATGTGGTTTCCATTACAAAAACATGTTCCACATAAAAGCTCCATAATACAATCCAGAAACAGAACTTGTGCGTGATTTCAGAAGTTGAAGCTGTACTGGCATACTTAGGTACCGGGTATATATTTGCTGACCTCTACAGACACGCACCAAGTTTCAAACCAATTTACACGCACAGTCCAAATCATTCTGCTTTGAGCACCGTGATATCCACTGAGTTTTCCATTTGAGTGACGATGAGCGACATCTGCCCTGCTAATCTGCAACTGAGCATTGCCTGTAAAATGATCTGGTTCACAGCTCTCACCCAGCCCTCCCCAATAAACAGAACCTAAAATTAGTGTCTTCCCAACACAAGCACATGTCAGATGTGGACAAATACATTCATGGTCCCAAACTTAAAACAACTGGTAAGAATTTCACAGTGATCTGGTTACGGAAGCACAAAGACAAATGATTCCATTTAAGATGAAAATTACCTTAAAACTCAAATGAAGCTAATCTTTTATATGATGAGAAGCTAAAGGAACAAAGTATTAACCAATTAGAAAAGTGGCTCTTTCCCAACTAATAACAAAAGCCCTACAGCAACAAACTTAGGGTCCTACTGCTGCAGCAGCCTTTGAGGTAGGTGGCGATGGCTTAAACCGAGGTAGGTAAAGTCCAAACTTGTTTTCAATCCCTGCAAAAGTGGCAACTGCCAATTTGTAACCACCAACATGGTCAGGGTTAGGAGCAGGGAGCGTGATCCTAGATTTAGGAACTGTCTCTGATCCAGCTGGTTTTCTGCAAAATAATAAAAACAATAAATTAACTTCCATCGAGTAAAATCAGTATTCACAAAAAATTCCATAAATTTAATGAGACATCTGAGTGTACTTCCCTATAAGTAACTAAATTAAATACTGCAATGTTTAAGAGAAATGCCCTGTTTTAAAACCTTCCAGAACAGTCAGGTGCCTTCATGTTGATTGAGTATGGTCAAATCCAGGTAAAATTTTCAGTGCATTAATCAAAACTAGTGTGAGGTAGCACGGGTTCCTAAGTCTTTGCTACGGCATACAACCAATCCAGGAACACAGCAGAGTGTAATTTCTGTGGTGGCTTTCAAACTGCTGTCCCCAAAGATCCATAGAATCTGCAGCTGCTCTGGGATCAAGCTGAACATGTACATCCACCTGTATTGTCAACAAAGGCAGGAGGCACAGCTGAAATGCCAACAAATTGGTTTTGACCTTGGTGACAACTATATATTTTTTTGGATGTCAAATGCCCTGTCTAATTAGGGACGCAGCTCCTCCACCAAACAGTGAGACTAATGCAGAGTGTATCCTGACCTGGCAGGAATCACGTTTTTCCTGCATTTACATCCCCAGCCCTTATTTAGCCTCCCACTGTCTCTGTTTACACTAACATAGGTCCCCTGCTTGAAACTGTGCTATAAAATATGGTAATATCTTGCTATGAAAACAGCCACTGGAATATCATCCCAACCTCCACCTGTAAAGTGAAGTTGAAATAATATTTAGAAAGCCTTTACAACATGTCCTAGCAAGCCACTGCCTCTGATGTTCTAAAGAGGACTCTTGGAACCCAAGAGAATCAAGGGTAACTTCAGGTATGTTCAGACATCACATACTTACACTCCTCCAAAGTCCACATAAAACCATCTCTGCAGTAGCTCGTAAGTCACCAGAGTTACACCAAACTGAGGAGAAGATCGAAATACACGAGCTTGAAAGAAAAGAAGAGAGTTCCTAAGTGACAAATGCCACAATCAGAAATCGTTTGGCAATCAAAGCTCTTTTACACACCTCCTGCTCCTTTCCAGAGAGCCTTCGGGCCTTCTTCCCGCAGGATCTTGACAAAACAGTCCACAACGCCGCTGTAGGTGGTCTGTCCTGCTCGGGCTGCCACCTGCAGCCTTGTTTTGATCACATCTGCAGGGGTGACCAGAGAGGCTGCAGGCATACCTGAACAACACAAAAGTCATCAGGTGAGTACCACTGCCTTGGCACATACACTACACACCTAGCGTATCCAGAGGGAAGAAGTTCTTTCCTCCTTACATCAGGAGAACGCAGGCACATTTGATTTAAGCAGAACCTGGGAAGGAGAACAAGCAACAAGAGATTGCTGCTGTGGACATGGCTTAACCCAGAGAGAGCTTCTCCCAGAGGAACAACCATATCTAGTGCTTCCTGCCAAGCTGGGAGGCACAGATTGGCGTTTCCAGTGCTACTCAGAAACTTGCATAGTTAATAAGCACAAAGCTTCTGGAGGGAAGGTTGGTATTTCCCTTTCCTTTTCATTCCTCTCTGTGGTTCCTGGCATCCTGGTGTACACTGTGCTAGAATAGGCTGTACACAGACACAAACACAGACACACAAACACCCCTCACACAGCAATCTCACTGAGAACCATGATAATGCCAGGCATGCTCAGCATCGCTTGAGAGCTAAGGCTTACAAAAAGGGTCATTCTTCTCATTAGGAATGGCAGACTGCTCAGCTGCAAAGCCACAGCTGACATCCTCAGCAGAATATGTGGAGGAAGATTTAAATTTACCCTGGCAGATCATCAACTAAAAGTAAAAAATACCAAATTACCAGTGGGTGGTATTTCTAAAATCATTCCTATCCAAACTTGGGGCATGTTTAGAATTGGGGGAAAAAAAGACAAAAAAAAAAAAAAGGCAAAAAAAAGCCCCAAGACTGTACCCAGAAGACACTGTCTCTTATGGTTTTATTACTTTTCCATTCTGCATCTGTTCCAAACCAACTTGGTTAGATGTAGATGCATAAATCTCCTTTCCTTTTTTTTTTTCCCAGCTCAATAATTCTGTAACAAATTTTATCCAAACCAGCATGGTCTGGCCTCAAGCTCCAGCACACCCAGCAGACTGCTCCAAGAGATCAAATCATGTGAATATCACCAAAAGAAGATTTCCTCCTCCTCTCCTTGTCCCCCCAGAACAACTCATACACTGAGTGTGCACTCAGTGCAAGCATGGGCTGTCTCGCAGACAAGCACTAAAACCTGGTCAAGGTTTCTGAACTCCAAAAACACTGAAATTCCTCTTTCAGTGAGGTAAAACACGTAGTTTTACCCACACCAGCGTATTGCTTGAGTCTTCAACTTAAAGCCAGACTTTTGTCCTTCAAAAGCCAACCAGTGTTTTCATGAAAATCAAAGAACTTACTTAGAAACAATTCTGATTACTACACATTGACTTCCGTCTCCTTATCACTCACTCCATATTATTGAGGATATTTTGCACTTGAGATACTTAAAATCCTTTCTTTACGAACTATGTGTACAGGACAAAAGCGTTCACAGACAAATCGAAGTTAAAGATTGCTGCCAAGAGAAGCTTACAATCAGAACGTGGCAAATAGCCCAGCAGGAGCTGACAAGAATCAAAAGGAGCTAGGGGAGGAGAAAGAACTTCACGGACGCAGTAAGCAAACAGAGCAAATTAAGGAGAGATCCTGCAGATGGTATTAGAATAATCTCAGAATATGCTACGGCACAACAGGTTGGGACATCTGAAAACCAGAAGTAGATCAAGCTGGATGACACGTGTTGCCTGTGACTCCAACCACAATGGCAAGGAAGATGATGTAAGCAGTACAAGCAACACCCACTGGCAGAGGAGACAGATACACATCTGAGTATGGCTAGCTTGACTATCCCAGCACCATGGGCTGTGTGTGGGAAGGGGGAGTTTCCCACATGCAGCCAGCGCTCATGCACACATCTGAAGTCTGATGACCAGGTGAGATCCCTGGCTGCAGAAGAGACATTGCCCAAAGACTGAAGCCAGCTTTTCAGAAGTGGTGGGTGTTTTGTTCTGTCTTTCCCTTGACTTTCTTTTGGCAAAACAGTGGACACATGCACTCTCATCACACTTTACATGTGCCCACTAAAACAAATCTCTTGTTTTTGTAAACACTATGATGAGTGTTGTATCTCTAACACTGTAATTTGCTCATGAGAGTTAACCTAGGATGGGATTCACAGGAAGCACTGGATAAAATTCACATTATAACTAGACTGGTGAGCCATATCAGCAACAATAAAGACTGCTTCTGTGCCTGAACTTCAAAGGGATGGTTATCTCAGTCTGCAATCACCTGACAATGGCTAGAAAGAGAAAAATAGGAAAACCTAAGAAATTACTTGGCTTAAAAATGCCATCTTATGTTTCAAGTCTGTAAATATGATCTAAAGTTCAAAAATTGTTTTGTTTCATTAAAATGGGTAAGAAATAAGCTGGCTGTAAAAGCTCCTGTTGGAGGATTTGGAGCCTGGCTTTGGAATGGGGTGGGGGAGGGGAGAGGACAAGGGGGTTTTGAGCAGCAGTCACTGGAACACAGCTGGTTTGGCTAGTGCCAGCTCAATTCCTTTGGACTATGAGCTACTGAATAGAGATCAATATGCTTCAACACAGCAAACCAACTGATCTTAGCTGTCCCCCAAGACCAGATATTGGCCATAAAAGGGCCTTGCTCTCAAAGAGACACCGCCCTGTGTACAATTTTGACCAATAAGTTTTTCACAGAGAGGAGAAAGCTTAAAATTAAATGAGGAAACATTGCTAAATCACCTGTCTGTTTCCATGAGTCACCGGACTCATTCCATCATTTTTCCCACCTGGCAGGTCACAGCAGTCTGCCAGGGGCCATGCTGGAGAAGGAAGCTGCTGGCTGCAGCTTGGAGAGACCAAGCAGCTCCCAATAAGCATGGTGCAAATACCAGCTGATTTGAGCCCTCCTGCTTGCTACACACTTCCCTAAAGGTCCTGTTGCACAAATTTGCAAGCCTGTTTGTTCCCTAGGTGGGAAACCATGGACACTGCAGGAGTAGGATTCTCAAGCTGCCCCCTCCAGCAGACAGCTACCAAGTGGTGGTCCCCTGTGGGTGTAGAAGCTGTGGAGGGACCAGCCATGCTGCAGACATGGGCAAGCTGAGGCTTACAAAGCCTCTGTCTTCTCCCTTAGGCTCTGGCACACTCAAGCTAAATTCATCTGTGAGAAGTTAAGCATGTTTGGGCTCTTCTGTCTGCTATGCAAGTGCTCTGTACCTCTGTCATATCTGGGTATATCACAGGAATTAGCAACCTGTGGCACTGCAGCAATGTTTTCAAGATCTTCTTCTTCTTCTTCTTCTACTGCTTTGTTTAATATTTTAAAAAATTATAAAGGTAAAATCCTCAAGAAGCCAAGTAACTTCAGTGGGATACTGGGGATAGCAAATACTGTCATCATCTTGTCACCTGTTATATGATTGTGTTTGGAGAGCAGTACTTCCAGTGTGGCTTCTGGACTATATATACCAAAATTCAAGATTCACTCGATCATAAAGAATTTTATGAAAGCCATGGTTTTGTTTATAAATAATTACAACAAAATGTTACCTGACAGTGAGACACAGCCAAAACCAGCATAGTAATTTCACAAGGAATGATGATAAATGATAAAAAAAATCAGCAAAAAACTTTATTTTCCCTTTCTTTTGCCTTCTGAATGTTATACCAGGAACTTACAGTATCTTCAACTCACTCTACAGCACAGTAACTTTGTTGTTTCTGCAGTAAGGCTGCAAAACACAGTATTGTTGCATACAGTCCTTTTGAGCATTTTTTGTTATTGTTGTCACTGCCATAACTATTGTGTTGCCAGAGCAGTATAGAGCCACGAAAACGGAAATCTGGGCACTTACCAGCTATTGATCCAGCCAAGAGCAGATTTCCAGGGCTAACCCTCCCATCTTCATTTGTAAATGAAGCTTTCAGATGAGCGTAACAGGGGAAGTAAATGGCAGAGAAGGGGATGTCACGCAAAAAACATGCCTTAGCACCCTGTTTGAAAAAGAGAAGAAATTTTGAGAAGGAGCAAATTTACCATCATGAACCATGAATATCAGAGAACACAGCAACATTGCATTTTTTCACTTTGCTGCAAAGGGCTTACAGAAAAAGCAATTTCTCCCTCAAAATTTTGAGATTCATGTATTTCACCCTGCTGAGGAGTGTCTCTGTGTTTTTTCTTGGTTCAGTAATTTCTGTAATTGTATTTATCTTGTCTACTTCTTCTCCCTCACTTTGAGGTACTGTAGTTATGTGCTGGTAATGGAGACAATACCATGTGTTTGAGTAAACTCTGAAAACACCTTTGGCGAACTTTAAATAGTTGACCTTGTAGCCATGAACCTGTAGTGGGAGTTTAAAAACTGTATGAAACAGAGCCCCAGGATAGGTCTGCCACCTCTCACTCCCACTTTAGATTAATACTCCAGGGAAAACGGTGCCCAGTCCATACCTCTATACAGGCACTATAATTGATAATACAACATATATTGAGGGAACAGGGGAATTAACAGCGAGTCTTTTTGCGGAACAGTAACAGAATTATTTGCTTGTGAATTTTAAAATAAAAGTTATCTGGGACACAGTTTGTTTCAATAACTTTCATCTCTTACTGCTAAATTTGCCTTGCTATCAATTTGTGGAAGTAGCACAACCAGCCAACAAAGTTACCACCAATACAGCTGGTTTCAAATCTAAGAGGGAAGCAAACAGGAAAGAAAATTTTTGGGGTAGTGGCAAGCAATCAAATGTTTTTCAAGCAGGGGAAGGTCAACCAAAATAAAATATCAAATATTTTTGTATCCATGCTCCAACAGCAACAGGGATTTGTAGTCTGCCTTTCCTCAGAATGGAGATCCAGAAGACAGCAGAGCCTGCCAGGACTAAGACCAGGAGGAAAGCACAAACAAGAAGAAGAGCTTGGGAAAACGGGTAAAAAAGCTTGAGAAAGAAATGGTTCACGAATGAGCCTAGGCCTCTTCTCTTTGAAGCAAGGGTGGAGACCTGGTGAAACTGCTTGAGGTTCATCCACAAACCCTCGGGGGGTGTCCTTGTTACTGTACTTCTCTTGTTCACAGGGCTACTAGCACATGGCTCAGTGCCAGATATCTCACAGGGGACATGCTAATATCCACAAAATTTAATTACATCTAATGATATGCCTGGACACATCTGTAAGCTTAGCTTCTATTATAATATACCAGTTAAAATATAGCACTTATCCAAGTTAGATGCTGTTATCAAAGACAAAAGAGCTGCAAGGTGTCAGAAAAACTGAGGTTTCCTTTCCAAGAGGCAAGGCAGAAGAAGGCAGCAGGGTGTGTGACAAGATAACCAGGTCCTGCAAGCTAATTCTCAGGAAACTTTAATAGTGCAGTTTGCAGTCAGAGACTGCCTCTGAAAAAATAAAGATTTATTTTAAAAAGCCATTAGATCTTCTAGTCAGACTTTCTGTGTATCACAGACTCAGCTACTGAACACAGGGAGGACAACAGGCTCTGCTCCAGCCCCCAGTGCTTTCCACCACACTTTCTCAGCTTATTTCTTGAAGTTTTCAGATTAAGTACTGACCACTTCCCCTGACAGTCCCTTTGGAGGTTAATGACTTCTGCAGTTCAGACTCTATGGCTTCTCACTCAGTTGGATGTCTGATTTATGCTGTCCATCGCTCGTTCTTGTTGTGCCTTTCTAGAGACACCAAACAAAATACCATAAAGGAACTCAAAAAGCACTGGTGTTGGTCCTGCTCTGCCCCTTATGCCCTACCTTGAGGACACAGAGAAGGTGAATTTTTTGTATTCAACAGAGACAAAGATTCTGGACTCTCATGTGCAACAGAAGCCTGTTTAATGATTTACCTTTAATCTTCACATAGACAAGACTAGGGTTTTACCACTTCTGCATGAAAAATCCCAACATTTTAAGGATCAAATGTCTGTACTGTACTTACTTCATAGAAAAAATTATGAGACTCACTACTGAAACATTCACAGACTGACATGGTTTTTTCAAAGATTTATTTTTAGAACGTGCATTTCCTCAGAGCAAATCTCCTCAGAGCAAATCTCCAGAGCAAATCTCAGAGCAAATCTCCTCACTGCCTTTGCCCTCAGGGCACATTACTTTTATTTTCTTTACAATTTCATTAAACACTGCACACATTTTTTTTCCCTCGGCATTTTTTACATACCCTGAAATATTCTGATATAGTTGAAATAACTTACACAAATCAATAAAGTCCAAATGTAAGCAACTCGCAGTTCAACCTAAGTTGCTAATATTCCTCCCCCTTCATTAAAAGGCTCTTTTTCATGGGGCAGAAGTGGCATATTGTTAATATCACTAATAATATACAGTCAGGTATGCAGAGAGGGAAGGATGTCCATCAACTTAGCTGGCTCAGTGTAAACAAAACCTGGATCAAAACTTGGATCCACTTTAGTAATAACCAGGCTTGGCTCTGGTCCAGCACTGCAACAGTCTAAAGTTTCCCCCCATCATTCCGTTTAAAGTCTGGGAAAGCATGTTTAAAAGCAGGCCCCATTTAACTTCAAGTTAATCATCCGCAACCAGCCTAGGCCAATTAGGAAGGCTTAGGGAGATTGGCCACAGTATCTTGAAAAGCAAAAGAAACATTTATTTTACTTCTCGCACCTTTTTGATGTGGACAACGTGCTGAAAGCCAAAGGGAATTTTAATCAATCCCCAGAAAGCACTAAGGAGCATCCACCCGAGTTTATTCTGGCAGCCAAGGTGCAGACCTGCCAGGCATGAAATTGTTGGGAGATCCTACACACCAGGACATGCGCCTTCCTCGCACAACAGCCAGTTGGCTCCCATCTTCAATCTCTTTAATAACCTTAAAGCTCTTAATCTCGGATACTATCTTACTGAATAAACCAATGGAGGAAAAAAAACCCTGATTGTCAAAGATTTGGATAAATAAACCCAAGTCAGTGCTGGGGCAGGTTCTTTAGCATGCTAATTCCTGCTTATACCAGCTCTACCTGCAAATAAGGCTCTAAACAAACTATTTCTACTACAAGGGGAGGGTAATTATACTGACAAAGGCACCTCTGTGTCGGGTTGGGCAGAAGGAGCCGGCAGGTCTGGGAGACGCAGGCTTAGCCTAGTCTCCTGCAGTGAATGCACATTGTCTAGTGCAGGGGAAAAATGCCAGACTGGGGGAACCTAGCAGCATTCAAGACAACAGTGGTGCACCTTGTCTGCGAGAGTTATTTAATGCTTCTGGCACCTGTACTTACAGCCACCCCCTCTTTTTCTCTTTTACAGGTTTAGAATTTATTTGGCATGTATAATTGTTATTTTGATCCTATAGCTACAAACAATAGGCAGCATGTCATTTCTTGATCATTTTGCATTCTTCTTGGGTTTTACTACAAATTTAACCCTTTGGAATCAGAGCTCTAACAGCACCTAACAGGTTTTTTAACAGTAGTCAAATATTACTGGTATTTGCTTTCAAGGGCTGCATTTTTTTTTCCACTATAAAATGGCATTGCCTTAAAAGCTACTATAGGTTTTTATTCACATATACTAAACTATGAAACTCATTTAGAACATCATATTAGGGGAATAAAATGCCAATTTCAAATGCTCTACCAGCAATCTGAATTCAGTTTACAGGAAGAAAATATAGTTGTTTTAGTTGGAAGGGCATTTTTTTGGTTAATTTAAAAGGAAATTTCTGAAAAGCAGGTTCTTACATATGAGAACAGTCACAAATAGGCATGGTGGATGCAAAATGTAACTCAAAACTTTTACTACAGTCTTTCATATGTTTATCATCCTGCTGTAAACCCTCAGCTTCAGAACGTGAAATACCTCAGCTGTTATCAAAGGAACCAGGTGAGAGCTTGGTACACATCCTGTCACTTGAGATTACACTTTCCAGGTCAACACACCAGAAGCTTGTTTATGAAGCATTTGGGGGGAAGGGAGAGGAGAGGGAAAAGGAGACTTTTGGAAGCTTTTCTGACTAGTTTTAGAAATGAAAACTGTGTTGGCAGTATCAGCAAAAACACAAATTTGAGCTAAATACCTTGTAGCAATTATAAAAATAAACATTACCACAGCCAACATACCCTTTCCTTGAAGACTCATTTACCACTCTATTATTTACTGTCTTCCTGGGATACAGAATAACTTTGTTGTGCAAAATTAAAATGGCACTGTCTGTTATGCTGTAAAGCACTATTCAGAATGATGATGTATAAGAGGAGTAATATTTTATTAAACATTTTATTACAGATATTACATGGATATGAATTCTTGTGATGTACAAAATAAGTAGGTATACTTACAGTGTTTATTTACAGGGACACTTTAAAGATGCCTTTCAAACCCAACAGAATATAAATTCAACTGACTTTAACGGGACTTTATTCATATTAAGTTGTAAGGCAGAAGACAGAAAATGTATTATCTAATCTTGGATGATTACTTCAATATTCATTTTTGATTAGGAATTAAATAAAATCTATTAAAAATACTGAAAACCAGAGAAGTATCCTTTCCCATTTCTGCCAACACAAATGACATTTTGCATTAGTTTAAGTGATGTTTCCCCTGACTGCGATATGTTGTCTCTATATTTTTAAGAATAGTTGTCACCTACAGAGTATCTATAGGTAAGGAATTTACTAGTCACAAGCTTCAATACCCTGGTGCTTTCACAGTAAAGATTAGTGGGAGAAAGAACACAAATAGAGGAAATAAATTCCCTCTGCAAAAGTGCTGTTATGTGCCTCCCCAAAGCAGCGTTTGGATTTTGAGAAGTACAGTGTTTTAAAATACTTATTTACACAAGTAGTTCAGAATTTTAGACAAAGACAGAAAAAAAATATTTGCTTTCTAGCTTTAAGGAGCTACAGGGGTTCAACCCAGCCATCAGCTTAACAAGCTGTATGTGTCAAATCTTTTTATTGCTGGAATTAACATGCATTTTATTCTAAGCTGCATATCATTACAGA